CAATAAAAGCAAAATTAAACGTTTTCTGGAACCAAAACCGAGTTGTATCTCAATTTGCTTGGAACTGCAACTGCGACTGCAAACTGGAATTGGAGGTGCGGATGCGAATCCAAAAGATTTCAGCTGCCCTTGCTGAGCTGCTGCAGACTTGGCCCGAGGAAAGGTTAAGAACGGGCTACGCGGAAGCTGCCTGAAACATGAAAAATATACAAAAGAAACACAACCAAAACAACCGAAACAAGAATGGCTGCAAAAGAACACAACTTTCTACCTTAACTGTTTTGGCCAGAGCCCTGGGGAATTTTCAACTGGTTTCTGTTTGGAACCTTTATTTTCACCAGGAGGGGGCCGCAAATGAAATGCAAATGTTGTTCGGGGGCTTATCGGTAATCTATTGACTGAGAATTTGCAACAGATAAGGCGGGGCACTATTAAGCCATAAAACGCATGCAAATGAAGGCGTTGAAATGCGCATAAGGCCAAAAAGGAGTGTATTCGGGGCTGGTCAGTTCACTTAGCCGAAAGTTAAAGGGCGCAAAAACTAACGCGTTTCGGAAAAGATAAAGCCGGCACAGAACAGTGGCGGGTAGGTGGGTAGGTACAGGGTACAGGGTACAGGGGCTATCGTATCGCTCTGGTCAGTGGCAGCTGTCTGCCACGGCGGGGGTAAAATTCAACTTTAACTTCAACGAGGCCAGCGGCTGACTGGCAATTAATTATGCCCAAAGTCGCTCATTCTCACTCACTCGATCGGCCCTCTCCCTCTCTGCAGCACTCGCCCCCTCTCCTTCTTGCAGCGGGCATATGTTTATTTACTTAATTTACTTAATGACACATATCTAGTGAGGAGCACGAGTCACAAAGAGGCACTGGAAAAATATGCCACCATTATGGGGCATTAAAGCGGTCAACAATGCGGTCTAAAAGAAAAATATTTGCATGTTTACAAGCACTTCATTTTTGTCCTTATGAGCCATACAAATATTTACAAAATTAAAATTCAAATTTATTTCAATAAAACTTTATAACAGACTTTCTTGATAGACTAACCACTTTTGAGAAATTCTAAATCATTAAAAAAACATTTCATATATAAGAAGCATATTTCAATAACACTTTTTTCTTACTGTGCATGCACACACAATTTTATTCTGGTGAGGTCATCGAGGCAAAGAGGAGCAGCCCATGTTTGTCTAATAAATAACATTATTAATTACCAGTGCAATTAAGCATAAGTACGAGTGGGGCAGGCACCCTCGCCAACATAGATAGAACTTCAAACCACGGACAAACTGCGGACAGAGGCAAATAACAGACCGACTGCACTTGATGACCCAAATTTGAGCTCATTGAGTGATATATGAATGCATTAATCTTAGTTTATGTTTATTAGTTTGTTTATCAAATTTGATGCGAGCTGGAGAAATATGCCGAAAACTTTAGCTAAAAACTGAAAACTGATCTCGCCAAGAAATGCATCAGAGTTCAGATCTGTGATCTTTCAACTGGGAATTTATGATCAACATAATACGATTTTATGTTGCTTTAATGGCCTCCGTCGATATTTATGATCGAGGGTAAAGTTTTTAAATGGCAAAAGCGTTTTTTTGGTTTTTTTTATTTGTTTTTGTCAGAAACTTTAAGCTTAGGGATATTTTAATGAATTTGCCTATAAATGAGCAGACTCTTCAGGCCATTAATCTTCAGTCGCTCGTTAATTTCTTAAATATGGCAACTGTCACGAGCAGGACAAATCAGGCAAGTACTAACTAGAAAATACAGAAAATTACAAAGCAGAGATGGCAAACTAGGGAAACTTTACACAGACCCTCAGGAGGAGGGAGTGTTCTTAGTCAGTCTAGCCGTGTCACAACGTTTAATCTTTATTAATTACAGTGAAATAATAAGTAGATCCCTCCGACGAGCACCCTTCCGCATCCCCACCACTTTTCTCCGCTTCTCGGTGCGTCTATTTCTCTATTTCTCTCCTTTCTCTGACAATGTCAGACGCACCACCGACTGATTAATGCCGGGGCTAAAAGAGCCAAACAAGCAAACATGCCACAAGCAGCCGAACGGGCAACTTTCGGTCTGGTTTAGGAATTCTAGCTGTGCACTGGGAAAAATAGAGATGGCATAATATTAAATTAGGTGGCCAAACACGGGCCCAACATTATGCGAAGTCTGGGATAAAAGAACATATATAAATTTAATATTTATTTTTAAAAGGTTTGAAATGATATGTGTCCTCATTAAAAGTATTTTACACGTTGTAATAAAAGATGCCTAAAGCAGATACAATCTTTATTTGAATCTAAAATGTTAAAATAGGTTATTTTTTAATGTTATGACTGTAGTTTGCCATGTTCAGTAGCGTTCTAGTGGGACCACATCCATCACGTTGGCATTTCTCCGCATGGAGCACAACTCCCCAATTTGTTTGGTGCCAAAACGCGCCCAGCGGGTGGCAAAAAGCGGCAAAAGGGCAAAGGGGCGTGGGGTTAAAAAAGCAAAATTAGATAGCAGCGTGTGCGGAGCGACCATTTGATCCTTTTTTGAGGTCAGAAGCGAAGGGAGGCGGGTTGCAAAAACCGCGCCTCGCCTAATTACGCATCTAATCAGAGGTGGTGACCCCGACAGAAAATAAAAAACGAAATTCCTGCAAAGGAAACTTACAAACAGCTGCCTGCATTAGGCAGTAAGCAGTAAGCAGTGAGTGAAAACTTGCGGCTTGTCAATCAACCGAAAGCTGTTCAAATATTTAAACAAAACTCAGCCTCTCAATGCATATTTGCACTTCAACTTAGCTCAAACTGCGCATGCAAATGCAAATGCAACAAATTCAAATAAATTCCGCGGGGACAGGACAATTAAATATGCGCATAACTGTTGATAATCATCGAATCAATATGCTGACAATTTTCTCACGCATTCGCCAAGACTACGCCAGATACGCACTCAGATAGATATTCAAATCAGTCGCATCCCAGATACAGACAAGGATCCCAGGATGAGGGTTCATCGTCGTCATCATCATCATCATCATCGCGTTGATGTTAATGATGAATCATCATGATGATGCTGACATCAGCTCGAGCGGCTGAAGTCAATGAGGAAAAGGACGGTTTCCAGGGGCCAAAAACGATTTGTTCTGCTCGAACCCTTCTTCTTTGCTCGTCATAAAAAAAAAGAAAAGGATTTGTAATTTGAATGTTAAATAGCAGCAGCCGCAACTCTCATTCCCTCCCTATTTCTCCAAATTGTATTTACTGCTGAATTAATTCTAACTACTTTCTTGAATAAGTAAAAAACCAAAGGACTTGCCCTGTTTGCTTAGGGTTTCCATTCATTTCCATACAATTCGATGTGCCGCGCCGCCTTTTAAGTCCCCGAGAAAAATCTATAAAAAAGAAATCTATTAAGAAAACCCATTTTTTTGGTTTTTTTGTTGTATTCCTCTGATTTCTTCTCCAAAGTTTCGCTGGCTGGCTAATGGCAATTGACAGGCGCAGTCATATGTAAATCTTAGGGCGTGGCGGTATCGACATTCAACCAGCTGCCGTTGGTCTCCGATTTCAAAATCAGTCGGGTGGCCAAGGGAGAGATTAAATAGGGCGAAGGCAAAACATGTTTTTCACGGCTTTTTAACGGTTTTTCGGTAATGGAAAAGGGGGAAATTTGTTATGAAAAATCGCGGGAAATAGGTAAATAATTAAACCAAAATAAATTATGAAAATAATGTCGCTTTCGCATTCAAATTACATTCAACTTATTCGTGAGAAAATTTACTCTTAACTGCAAGTTGCTTTAAAATTAAAGCGCACCTTTCACTCCTTGTTTTTAAAACGTTATCAAAAGGTTATAGGTATAACAAATAAACCTGTCTGTGCAATTGCATTTCAAACTTAACCAATCAAGCTGTAATCCTTTAGCAGGATTTATGACAACTTTTCTATTTGCTTTCCTTGAACTGAATGGACAGCAGGACGGCCCCTCCTTGAAATGTTGATTGCATTTTGAAAGGGAGTTAAACTGCTGAATTGCAGCAATAATATTGCAACCGACATCGATATGTGCCATTTGATTTGCATAATTCAGCACACACACAAACCAAATGGAAGACCCAACCCTAATGCAAAAAAAATGAACTAGCAAAATATTGACAGGACATGGGGATTGTGAAAGTCAGAAGGGACAAAGGGAATGATACATACAGATATTGCCGCTTAAGCTGCAAAACAGCCGCGCCCCTTTCAACTTGCTGTCTGTCTGTTTGTGTTTTTGCAAATTCATCGATAATTGGCAATTTGAAATGGCAACAAAACAGAAGACAGGGGTTGCTTTCGACTTTCGACACATGAGAGTGTACGAGCCCAACCCATATTGACTTTGGCACTCTTGAAGAGAACCCCTGATTCAGGACCCTAAAAAAGAAAAAAGAAAAATACCCAGGCCTCGTGTCAAGGGCGCATTGCAAAAAAAAGAATTGCCAAAAACTTAAGTAACACAATAACAGGGAAACAAGACTTCGCACAATAGATAATGACTTAATGACACTTTAATTGTAAACAAGTTAATTCGGGCCATTGATGGCCAGTCACAACCAATTATCGCATCGATTCGAGCCAAAAAACGGTGGCAGCAATTAGTGTCAGTTATTAAAATTGGCAAAACAAAGCTGAATTATAATTATATCGTCGCAATGGAAACCAGATTGCTGGCTCATAAATTCAGTACGAAACTCCTCAAATGAGATGTGAAATTAATGGGCCGCGTCTGTCTCTCAAATGTTTTCGATTTGTTTAAACAATTTCCAAGTTGCTTGGAGCACGATAAAAATATTTGTTCGTCTGATGGATGTCTGCATTCACATCAGATATACATACGTACGAGTGTATCTCGATGGAGAGTTGAAATAAAGTTTTCCCCCACAACACAAAAACAAAAAGCATTCACAAATTCCTAACAAATGTCTTATTCTGCCCTTCTTCTATTTACAGAGGGAAAATCACAACGACTTCTGGGGACTCCCGCCCAAAAAGGTAAGAAATCAGCCAACGGAGAAACTTGGCCAAAAAAGGCCAGGCCAGGCCAGGCCAGGCGAGGCAGGCAGAAACTTACGAAACAAAACAAACATATTGCAACTTTTACTTTGGATCTGAGGGCTGCACGTCTTTGGGCCCCCGAGGTCGGTTCGCTTTCAAGTTTCGTTTTTTGACAGCTGCTGTCAAATGCTGAAAGGCAGCCCAAGCAGCTCCCATTCGAGCAGAAATCTAAAACAAGTCACACACGAAAAGAGTCCCAGTCGCAGTTTGGAGTAGGAGTCTCCAAGTCTCGAACTCGAAGCCGTGGAATCAGAACCAGGCTGCAGTCTCGGTCTTTGGGTCTCTTGGCTCCGGACATATCGCCAAAAACATCTCTATATACCAACACACTTATGTGGGCAAGAACAGCGGGGCTTAATCTAATAGTTTTCAGCTTTTGGAAGCTCTCAAAACTGTTTGAATTAATATAAAACATTGCACGCTAAATAAAATCAAGCTGTGGAACCCATAAAAGCACAAGCCAGTAACTTAAATAAGTACAACAACTTTAATTTATGACACTCCCACAAATGTTATGTAAGAATAATTGTAGCACTACATCGTGTTTCTGACCTATTACTGAACAAGAAATGTTTTATAAAATCATTTTACGGCACTACATCCGACTATTAACTTAACCCCCGCTGTACATGAGCACACCTTATGGCCCGGCTATGTTTCTTAGCCTGCTCTAAGCAAGTTCTCAAAACAACAGCATAGAGAGAGGTAGGAAAAAAAAAACAATGAAAACATTTTTATAGTTTTCATGCACGAAGTCCACGAAATGAAAAATTCTACAATTTAAACTGACATTTAAATTGATAGTTCAAGAGATGCACACGACAGATACGAAACAGGGAGAGCAGCCAAAGCAGCTCGCACACACATACCCTCGGATACCCTCCATCCATACTCGTAAGTATCTGCATCCACGCCGATGGCAGTTGCAGTGGCAGTGTACTCATTGTACCTCGCACATGATGGGAATGCATATGCCTGATCCATCGTTTTCCCGGCCTGAGCTGCTGATGATGTGTAGCTGTGGAACGAGCCGCCAACTGATGCTGATAACAAAAAGCACACACCATAGAAAAACAATTGCCGGGCCAAGAACTCTGAAAATATTATTATTATGAGCAACCGCATACGAAGTGTTGCCCTTGCTGTAGTTTGTGGGAAACTCTTTGAGCAGGGTCAAAGGAAAGCCTGCAGTTCAACGCATTAGGCCACAATAAATAGGTTTGTCAGAAGTACAATTAGAAAATCTGTAGTATGAAGTGTGAAACTGACATTGAATTGCTGGGCCATTACGAAATTTCAACAACAATTCTGGGTTCACCTCAATTAATAATCTAAAACTGCAGCATACAACACAAGACTATGTAAGCCACACATTTACTATACTTTTAACAACTGAAAACACAGAAACCACCATTTCTGCACACAAATATTCTAGCTAAAGCTAACAACATTTCCAACAACACTAGAGCAATAATGTTTCTACGACCCCAACATGTATTAACGACACTTAATACCAAAAAAAATATATAAAAAAAAAATATGTAAAACTAAAACAAGAAAACCTACACCATGAACAACCTTCGGCAACAATCACCGCCAGAATCCTCCAGCGACATCGTCAAGTGTCATGTGCGTGTTCGCTATCACCCAAGTGCCGCAGATGGAGATACAAAGATGCAGAGATAGGCAGACACTCAGATACTCAACGGCCAAAGACGGGAAATAACCATATGCGCATATATACACCTATATAAGTAGATATATACATATAAGTATATATGTACCTATATATATTAATGTATGCCATAGGAGTGGAGCATAGATTGGGCTACGGCGCTAATCTTATAATTAGCATTCCTGGCAGATAACAACAACAAGAACAGAGTCAGTGACAGGCAGGCGACTGCTGACTGCTGACTTGGACTGCAAAATAACAAATAACAAACAAGTTGCAATTACAGAGCGGCAGTGGCTGTGGCTGTGGCAGTGGCAGTGGCAGCACTCGACTGTTAATCGGGTTGCATGATAAGTGCACATTAATTAAAAAAATAAAGAAAGAGGCGAGTGAACGTGGGGGAAATTACAGATCCCGGCTAATACATTTATGAAACGAAACGAAACCGAAAGAGTGCTAATTGAATTATTGCAACAAAGAGCTTGCTTCGTTTCTTGCCATTTCTGGTTGCACATTTAATTGCGCCAACTGGACACCCCCCTCTCCCTTTCACCATCCACCGATCACTTTTTTGGCCCCCTGCACAGAAAAAAAAAGGCTTTCGAGCATATTGCTTACCGTTCCAGGAAGACCCACAAATGCCCAGACAAACCAGACTCCGTTCTAACGGTAAGCCGCTATATAACTAAACCCAAAATAAACCCGAAAAATATATTTAGATGGGGGCACAGGCACTGAGAAAAATGTTCAGTGCTTTGCTTGATTTTTAAATTCAGTTCCTTTTCAAAAACTGTGTGCACATTCCAAATAGAACTTAACTTAACTGCTTAACCGATTTCAAAGTTGAATATTAAGTTTTATGAAATGTGTATTGAGTTAAGTGCTCGACATTTTTGGCAGTGCACAGACCAGACCCAAGTTCAATTTCTTCTCGTTTTTTGGGCAATTCATAAACCGAAAATAAAACACAGCGAAACCCGAAAAACTGTCAAGCTCAGTTTTCAATTGCTTCTGGCCGTGTAATTCGAGAGCCTGCCCCAGACATTTGGCTGAAGGGAGCGAGGGGCGAGGGAGGGGATATTAGGCCATGCTGCGGGCTTAGTCACTTCTGGGTAATGTGTCCTCCAGCTCCTTCAGTCCAGTTCAGTCCAGTCCAGTCCACTCCACTCCAGTCCAGCCCATATTAGTTTTCAAGTCCACAAAACACATAGCAGACCCGTTCGCATTGTTGTGCTCTTGTGTTGTGTTCTTGATATGACGGGGCGCACAACCCGAAAGATACAGCTCGAGTATCTGCAAGTGCACGCAACACTGTAGTTGTTGTTGCTGTGTATCTGTATCCCCGTATCCCCGTATCTGTGTATCCGTGTATCGGCAGCCCATGCAATGTCTAGGGCCAAAAGACGGTTCGGACATTTCAACAGCATGTCGCTTCATTTAAGTTTTTTGCATCAATGCACTCGTGACAATTTGTCATAAAAAAGTGCAGAATGCCCAGCCAGAAAAGACCAACTGGTCAGTGTAGAGATGTGTGATATTTCTTTGGAACTTGCCCATCTGTTTTGCGGAACTCCCAATTTAATTTAATAAAAGCGAATGCCAAACGGCGGAGTGTTGTTGAAGTTCTTTGACTTGTTCTTGCCAACAAGATGGAAAATTATTACTAACTTCATAAAGTCGTAGTAGTAGAAAGTAGTGGTAATATGTAATAATATTTTTGTCTAACAAAGTATGCTTTGATTGGGGAAATTGTGGTTTGCAAACAACTGTTCCTAGTTTTTTAATCAAAATGCACATTCAAATCTATGGCACTCTCCAATAAGTTTATAACCATCATTAGTAGCAATCAGTGTTGCCACCTGGCACCTGAAATCTGGTCGAAAAATAATCTCAGAAAATAATACTCATAAATCGGCCCCATGAAACGAGCTAATAAAAAGCTAATTGCATGAATATAAAACCCATCTTTGGATTTATCATCTGGTTCATATGGGCGGGGGGTCAGCCCCCTGCTGCGAAAAATATAACCATCGGAGGTGAAGCAGCTAATGCCACATTTGTGATCGTATTTATATAATTCATTTTTAAATATCTAAGGCCACACAAAAGCACGACGCACTCAAAACATATATTAAATATCCAGATTTTACGATGCATAATGCGAGAGGGGGTGGCACTGAAGGTGGATTTTTATTACCAATAATTTTAAAATTTGTTGCCTGGCTGCTGCTGCTGCGGCTGCTTCTGCCTTATTTTATTTTTACTCATCTTTCTTTTTTTTCCATTTTATTTATTTTCCTTTTATTTTTTTTTTTTTTTTTGCTTCTGCTTGGTTGGACGGGTGCAAGCAACTTGTTATAAATATAAACACAGATACTTATGAAGGCGCATATAGACGTGCATACTCATATCCATCGGTTTATATATAGACGGACGTGTGTGCAAGTGAATTGATTGTAAAGCTGCCCGACCGACCGAGCGACGCGATTATTTACGGTTTATTTTCAACACTTCAAAAATAAACGCAGGCGGTATGAGGAAGGGAAAGTTTTTGGGAGGAGGTGGGCGGTGGGCGGTGAGCGGTGAGCGGTGAACGGTGAGCGGTAGAAAGGGGAAAAACGCAACATGAACTTCTGTGCCGCTCAACGATCCACCTCCCGCCCACTCCCGTCTCTTGCCGCTCAGGGCCTCATTTGAAACAAAAATATTGCATACTAATTTTAATACGTAACACGCGGACGACTTTGAAGGCGGCCAAAAATATCGGCACGGGTGCACTGGGAAAAAGAACGTATGGCAAAAGTGGAAGGAATATGAATTTATATATTATATTTGATATATTATCCAATCTCCATTCTTCTAAAATTAAAGGATTCTTTAGAGAGAAAAAGACAATATTTCACTTTGGTATTGAGATACATAATAAATGTATGTACGTGGATTTTTCCGGTGTACTTGGGGGACTGGGGAATCCACGCGGTTAGGGCTAAAAGTGTCAGGCACGTTGTGGGGCTATTTCATACACTTTTTGGCAGGTGGAGCGAACGACAAGTGCCCGCTGGCGAAGTGGGGAAAGTGGGGAGAATGGGGGGAGGAACGCGATGCAGTGGACTGCATTCATATTTCAATATTTTCGGTTGGCCACTTTTAAAAATAGCATTGAAATACATGTAAAACCATAGCCAGCGATCGGAAAGAGAGAACAAATGTAAAAGAAGCACTGAAAATTAATTTCCACATAATTTTTATGAGGCAATTACTC